GTCACTAACGGCACTGATTTTTCCGGCAGATGCTTCTAGCTAAAAGAATTTCAGACTGGCCGCCAGAACTGTCAGGAAACATTCCTTCAAAATTCCAGTCTTCTAGCTTCTCATGTCCTCGAGTTAGCAACTTACCCAGAAGAAAGTTCCACGGGCCCATACGTAGGTACCACGCTTACCCACGGGCAGGGTTTGAACTCGTTAATACCCACTTGGGCAGGGAACATCCCCCTAAGATTCCAGCGTTCTAGCTTCTCAGATCTCCGAGTTATGAAATTACCCGAAAGAAATTTTAGCAAGCCCATGCGCGGGTACCACGCGGGTGATGGCGCCTATTTTGGGGATTAGGGCCGACACGTGCATTTAAATTTAGTCCCCGAAATTCCAACCCTGCAGCTTTTATAAGTCATAAAATGAAAGTGCATGACAGACGCTCACACAGACACACAGACGTACGTACACACAGACAGCCCCTCGTCAATATGCGTTTTTGCACTGCATAGCTGCAAAAAATGCATAAAAACTGCAACTTTGCAATCAGTCTGACTGCAGAGTTAAAGTGGTGCCAAAATTGCCCAAAATTAAATTTCTTTTTACTTGCGTTTATCGCGCGTCCTAAACTGATTGAAGGCTGAATTTAAAAATTTCGGTCGTAATTGGATAGCGAATGTTCACTTAAAATTCTAGCTTCATAGCCACAATATGCGTTTGTTCGTTTGCATGAGTTGCTAAAATGCATAAATATGAAATGCTAGTGCTTGAAATTATTAAATTTTTAATACCTAGAAGTTCAAGTAAGCCGGTTGCGCCACTCCTGTAACAATTACTGCGTTTTTAACTCATATGAGTTAAAAAGGCGCTAACAACAAGTACGCATATATTAACCAGAAGTATTTAAATGCAAGTATCCCTTAGCGAAAACCGAAAAGACACGTTCATTCCTGCGATTTTTCCAGTTTCAATGGTGTCACACATTCACGTAGCTCATTTAACATTTTTTTATGTATAGGAGTACCTCATGCTGAATAAAATTGCTGATTGATGGATTGAAAGCGGGGAGTTTTAAAACAAAAGAAAAAAGTGAATGTAGTGAAGAGTGTCGCAAGCTTCCGGGAAAACTGACCTGTGCAAAACGAAAACCCTGAAAGAACTAATTTTTTCGTTAGAGAATAGTTCGCTTAAAATGCGCAGTCACACAGATTCAGACATTTTTCTACCCCTTCAATTTTGTAAGTGAGAGAACCTGTTAGCGTAACACAGCAGAACCAATTCTGACAATGCTAAAAATTTTCTTCGGCTTACACGAGAAGCATGTATGCATTTGTTTTGCGCCTCAAACGTGCAGAGCATATCAGCACAGCATGAACCCAGGCTGGAACGCACCAGGCGAGCCGGTGCGATCATGCGTTTTTGCATCAAACTTTGA